AAATTTCCTCAAGCAGACTTCCACTCGCAGAATTCTTCAAGGGTCACTGCCCTCACCACTGTTTGGTGATGGATCAACACAAGGTTTCTTGGATGCACTAGACTCTTCCGTGCCTGAGTTCATCACAACTCGCTTGACTCCTCTTCCCACGACTCCCAGATGTGTTACTGGAGCAGCCCCATTTGTGTGTGCAGTAGAAACGGTTGGTGACTCAATAGCTCCACCAATGGCATTACCCGTTTGTGAGGTGCCCGACGCAATAGAAAGAGCATTTTTCTCAGCGCCCCTCACCTTTGCAGACACCATTCCCAGGATATCTGAGAGGATAGATGTTGGGTTTGAGACAAGCTGGTGAAGATCTTCAAGCTGCATACCAACAAAATGACAGTCATGGCTACGTCACATATAGGCATCTCATATTTTTTGGGGTCATTTAGTCCTGCTACCTTCTTTTCCAGCTCACCAGACAGACCAGCCAGTGTTTCGATTTCTGTTTCTTTGTCCGCCAGAGAATCACCCGACGTATTGGAAGACAGTTGAATACTTTGGCTTGATACAGAAGCAGCTGGTGTTTCTGCTGATCCTGACAAGTTCTTTGCCTCATTCACAAGTCGCTGCACACGAGACTTGCAAACTGAAATAGCCTTTTGGCAATATGGAATAGCTTCCTCAGGTTTAGAACCAATTTCCAAGCACAAGCATATCCTAAAATTTCTGAATTCTCCTGTTATGGAAGTCAATTGGCAACATGTGGAGTGAAGAAATTGGAGAATTATTGAAAACCTTGGTATATACCTAAACGGACCAGCATCGAGATTCCATTGATTACCATCTTAAACAATGATAGGACATTAAAAATTACAAAGGATACAGTTCAGCTATAAGTCGACTGTCTGGTTCAACTAGTCGCTCCAAAATGGACAATGCTTTCAAGTAGTCACTAAGTGAGGTTTCGACATCCTCTGGAAAAAGCAGAGCATTCTTAAAATTAGAAGAAAGCCCATAAAATATCTCTAGGTAGATTGACATAATAAATCATCAAACAAAAAACACAGTACCTCTTTCCAGAGCTACCTCAGCTAAAGCTGACAATATATCCACCTTTTCCATTGTATCTCCTGAGTGCTTTTCAACAATTGCCCTAGAAATATCTAGCATCTTCCATGCTAAATCCAAGTCAGATTCATCCTCATTTCCATCAGCAAGGTCCTCATCATCACTTTCTTCCTCAACTTCTCCTTCTTCTTTGTCTTTCCTATCCATAGCTATTTTGAAATAGTCGAAAGAATGAGCAGAAGAAACAAACTCCAGGTTTCTACAGAGTACATAAAAGGATTTTTTGCAATACATAAACATTGTGCACTTTAAGGTAGATAAAAACTCCTCGAGATTTATATAGAACTCAGGATTAGCACAGCATGTACCATGTACATACAGATTTTGCTCCCCCCTTCCCCATAAAAAAATAAACAACCAACCCAAGGAGCATGAGAAATACAGTCATCTCAGAAAATAAACCTCGCAGAATGTAAAAGATAGAAATCCTATCCAAGCTAATGATATATACGACTTATTTTCCTATAACAGGCAGTAATAGTTACTACCAAAATATAGATCAGTAGATGTCACAGCATATACCACTATTCATAAAGCAAACATGCAGCAATTTCAATTCCAACTATTCTTAAAGAAAACCAATGGCATACACAAGTCATCTTATAAATATTATCAACAAAGCATATCTTTTTCCCATATATCGGATAACCCAGTAATTTTGTGGGTAGTTAATTACAATTTAGACACGTTTACAGAGGTCACCGTCTGAATTATCATGGAACTTAGTGAAAGAAAATGCTAACCATTATCTGCAGCTTCATCCAAATTATTTGAGCTACCACCTTGTTCATCATCATTGGGAACGGAGGCAGCAGAAGGTTCACCATTTATCGTACTCTTGACAGATCCATCTACGTTGGAATCTTCATGGGACGCACCCTCTTTTCTGGGCATAGCAGCTAATGGATCAGCTTCTTCTTGAGCTTTGTACAGCAGGGCACATCCATATTTATAGTAAGATTGGATACATTCAGCAGCAAGTTCACCATAATGAGCAACCCTATCATTTTAAAATTGCAACCAATTTTCACATCAGATTGTAATTTCATTGCAATAAAAAGTAATAAAGAAACATTGGAATGCATTGATGCTCTTATGAAGAGCTAGGAATGTGGTAAGTTTGCAAGAAACATAAGGAAATTATTGAGGATTTGCTTCTTTCCAGTTACCTTGCCATGGACACGAGAGATAAAAGAAAATAGGAGGGATTATACCAAGATATCTTCTATTTTTAGTGATGTATAAGCCTTCCATTTCTTAAACATGTTTCAGTTATTTTCTGTTTTTCTTCTTAAACTCATCAGTTTACTTCATTGCATTGTAGGTTGTCATTTGTCGATACCAGAAATTGAAGTCAGGGTGTTCGTTAAGTGCATAATTTGGAAAACAAACACGACCAGCATAATGTAGTTGATTCTAAAACAGTGAACAACATGATCACAGTCAATTATATCTAAAATGACCTTAAGACCATCATCATTCTTTGGAAAATTGCTGCATTGTAATGTGCGACTTATATAAAATTAGCTAAACTTTTTTCTGGCAAAGTAATTTTTTAATAGGTCTTAGGCATTACTTGTCCAATTATTGCATCAAACATGCATTATATTTTTCTGAATTCCCAAAAACAAAGAACACAAAACAAGGGAAGTAAAAAGATTATAATAGCATATCCAATTTCAATAAACAAGTCTCGTGGAGCTAATTACTTAGCCAAAAAAAATTCTAGCAAATTATAATTTCGTAATAAAATAAAAGTATTTCAAATTATTAAAACTGTACTTGCCCTCAGCTTCCAACACAAGTTTGCTAACAGAAAAATTACACTAAATCAAACAAAATGCTACAAAACTAAAACTAAGAAAGCATAAGAACAATGCTTTTCTGAATTTCCAAAAATGAAGAGGTAAAAAAGGGAAACATAAAGATTAAAATAGCATAAAAACAAGGCTTGTCAAGCTAATTAGTTAGGCCAAAAATATTGTAGAGTCGGTTATACTTCCCTAATAATCCAAAAGCATAGCAGATAATCAAACCCTACCCCAATTCCAAACACCGTTTTGCAAAAATAATTTTACACTAAAATCAAACAAACTACTATAACAGATAAACTAATTTCACTTCCAAACACCTAAAAATAAAAGAAAATAACGAAAGACCTAACAAATGAAAAACCTTAACCTGATTTCCAAAGCACGGCTGTAGCACTCAGTGGCTTCGGCATAATCACGGTCCTGAGCGGCTTTTGAGCCTCGAACCATCAACTCATCCGCGTATTCCAAAGACTTCTTAAAGTCACCATCGGAATTTACCACGGAACTTTCGGCATCGTTGTTGTTGCAAGTGGACTCGGTGGCTCCGAAATCGACGCCGGATTCGATTGTAGCTTCGACGGAGTTCTGATTCGGTTCGGGTGTAGGTTCTTGAGCATTATTGGAATTCGCTGGTTCCTCCGCCATCATTAATGAGAACTGGTAGAAAAAAAAAATGAGAAAACGGTTTTTTCACTTTCGCACTGATTCAAATAGAAATGAAAAACCTTTCAGTTTTAAACCATAAGTTCGTCACTAATTTTTTATTACTTTAAAAAATTGACTTATTTAATATAATATAAAAAATACTAGTTTCATGGGCTCACTTAACTGGACTTTATGTTGGGTACGGCTGACGAGCCAAAAGTCCTAGCAGGCTCAATCTCACCGGCCCAGGTAGGTTTGACAGGCCGAGCTATCTGGCTCTATCCTAGCTTTGGGCAATGTTTCGAAATGGCTACACGCACATATAGGGACCAGTATGAAGCAATTGAGTAGAAACTATTGAGTTTTGATACATAATAAATCTTGGAAATGATATTTAAACGGGTGGATTGATTTAATAAGTTTCGATCAATGAGTGAAATGTTTATCGACATTATATTTGATTGACTCGACCCGAAATCAAATTGGACAACTGGAAGCAATTATTAATTTGCGTTGCTTGTAGTTTGTTCATTAGTTGGATGATCCTTTACTTCGATTGTAATTGAAATTTAGCCCGATTTGCAATAATTGAATGTCCTTGAGTTTTATTTTCACGAAAAAATGGTATCAGATCGTAGGAGTGTGTAAAATATGGGCAAAAACTAGTAAGAAATGAAGCTATGCAGAAATAGATTGAAAACTATTGAAAAAACTCAAACTATTCGTACATGCGATCGCATTTTTCAGCTAATCTAGAAGTGGGTGGAGAAATGGAAGGCGTCTTTCAACTTTATACGATGAGGTGGAGCTGTCTAGTTGGCGTGTACGACGCATGGAGTGGTGGAGGCGACATTGCATGAGGCCCATGCCCATAGACATCAGTGGTACGCGTAGGTGGTTTTTCGGCGATGATAATCGAAGACAAAACATTCTTGGGAATTTTGTGGTGGTGTTGGTGGTGTCCATTTTCTATTATGGGTAATACGATGATTTTGAACTGTTTTGCCCTTGGACATCTAGGTTTCAAATTTTGGTTGATTGTGTTGTTGCGATTGCTGATGATTTAGGGCAAATAGTGGTAGTCTTAAAGCTGTAAAATTTGCTTATCTCCTAAAGCTGTAGAATTGGCTACTCACTTTTAAATTTTAACACTAACAAGCCATCAGGTGGGTTGGCTATTAGGTTTGAGGTTATTGTGTGAGATAACCATTATCTGTTGTTAGAATTTAGAAATTATATGCCATAGTTTACGTATTTGAAGTTTTTAAAGTATGTTAAATTTGACTACTAAGAGTTGCTTATTGTTTCTTGGATACAATTGTCAATTAAGTTACTGTGTGAGACTTGCATTGAGTAAGAAATTTTTTTGTTGTCATACCTCTTTGTTGAATTGATTATTCTGTTAGAACACTCGAACTTTTCCCGTTTGACCATTCTCTTGATCTGAGATCACGAAATCCTAAAAATCTAGAACAATGTATATTGTATGTGACCTAAGGTCTATTTTGTGTGTTCTAGTTGCTTATTTGTATATTTTTGGTTGATCAGTGTCCTAAAAATGACAACTTATTTTTCTTTAAGAATTTTTAATGAAAAATGAGATTTTTCTATTTGGCAATAGAAAATGAAAGGAATTTTGATTTAACAAAATATTTCAAAAGCTATAAATGTCAATTTTTTCTGCTGATTTGTCAAAAGAACAAAAAGAAAAATTTGATGAGCTTGTTTACATTTCAATTATTTTACACCGGTTAGATGCTATTTTTAGAAACGTTGGTAGACTTAAAACCACAAAAAAACTTTGGAAAAAGTTGAAGGAATTATATTTCCTCAAATCTACTCGTAGCAAACTTTACTAACTCGGGAGGTTTTTTCAATTTTAAAATGGATTCTTCAAAGATCTTAATGACATTTTGAATGTGTTTAACAAACTTATGCAAGATACTATTGATTGTGATGAAACAATATTTGATACAAATAAGACCATAATTTTGCTTAATTTCATGTCGACACTTATAAAGAGGTACATAATGCAATTAAATATGATAGAGACATCTTAACACCTCAGGATTAATGAGATGGATATTAAAGCTGAAAAACATGATAGAGAAAGTGGTGACATACACATGATGAGGAGTAAAACACATTTTAAGCATAATAGTCATGAAGAAAATTAAGACAGTAGTGATTCGAGTAATGATGATGGTAAAAAGAAGAGTAGAAGTCGGGACAGTTCTAAATTTGGAACAAATGGTAAGGGATGTTATAGCTCCGGTAAGTCGGGACATTTTATAAGAGACTATCATAATAAAAAAAGGTAAGTATAAAGAAATGGTAATAAGTGAGGTGAATGTTGGCACTGGTTTAGCTATGATCCGAGTGAGGTTTATTGAAAATAAACTCTATTACTACATTTGTATCTGCATGAAATCCTATCGGAAAGGATGATTGCTTGATTCTAGTGCATTGTTTAATATTACATTTTATCATGTTGGATGTGTACATTTGCATGAATTTGAGAGCATCATGTTAATGTGTTTAATAAATTGCATGCATAATGATTGAGATTACTGTTGTAAGGATTAACACTAGGCGTGTTCTCACTTTAATAGATGCACTTGTAGTGAGTGTCAAGTAGTAATATAGAGTTAAGATAATTGGGGGTGCATTGGTGATATGTACGGAGGGTGCGGAGAATGACATTTAGATCACGAGAGGTAAAGTGATTAAATGTTTGGTCTATGTGTTATAATTCTAATCGGTTGGAGTGAGAGAATGACACTGCTATCACCTCAATTAAGTGGAGACACGTTATCTACTTAAGTCAAGAGAGGTGAGGTAGTGATGGAGGAACATCCCATGGACCTAAGATCTTTACTGTTTACCAATTAGGCATGGAGAGTAACCAATGTAGTGAGCATGGTTGGCTATAAGAGGAGAATTTGTTCTCTAGATATGAGCTACATGAAAAGGGTTAGGATAATTGTGGTAAGATCTTTTCTCAGGGTCATTTGTGCATTGGTTGTAAATGTTGACCATTTACTTGATTAACTTGATGTTAATTTGATGTTCTCTGTGTGTCGAACATGTTGAAAAGATTTGTGTATTATCATTGGTATGTTTCCATCGCATGTTTTATAGCTATGTTATTATGTAATCTTGATTGCTTATTGTTTATATCTGATTATATAAGGTTCTTGACTTTAGCCTTTGGTGAGTACGCGGAACAAGTATGGTATGTGTTTCGGATCCGAGACACGAGTAAGGTTTGCAATTTCCAATTTTATTGGTTACCTTGATTATAAAAGTATAAACTTGGTGTTGTTTGCTTATAGGTTCATTGGGCGTCAATGTAGAGATTTGTTGGATTTTGATACCCAATACATTAGGCAATGATGTATAAACGTTTGGATTAATTTCATAGGCTTCGGTCGATGAATGAAATGTTTATCGACACCACAATTGATTGGGTCGATCCGAAAACAAACTGGGTCACTGAAAGAAACTATTAAGGTGTGTTGCTCATCGTCCGTTCATTAATTGGACTATCCTTTAAATTGTTGGTCCACTTTGTGCTATGTCTTGGCCCAAATTTGTGTTTGGCCCATCCCTTTGACTTATCCTAAAACTATATATATTAGCCCCTTGTTTGTGAGAAAGCCGTGTGTTGCAAATTGAAAGGGAGGGCACCATTATTCTTGCTACTTTCTTCTTCCTCTTTGTGATTATTTGCATCCAACATTATTGATCCGTTGTTGTTACAAACAACTGTGTAACCATAGTGAGAATAGTTTGTGGGTGGAGCCCCAATCTATTGGGGTGTTTGATTCAATTTGTTATTGAAACTGTGCCGGGTTTGCACCAATAGAAGGTCCTTAAGTTGTATTGCCGAGACAGAAACTATTAAGATAATTTTTACTTAATCTAATGCATATTGGTGAAAAGTCTAACCAGGTTGTGCAATCTTTGATTGTGTTAGTCAAGTCTTGGGCTTTATCGTATTTTGCTCGATACTAACAAAAAAGTTAAGTTTGGAGTGTTTGATACATGTAGAATATGCATGTATCTCGACTCACTCTCAACACTTTAGTTAGCATTTTCAAATTTATCTACATTGATTTTTTGTTTTGTTGTAAGACAATTTCGTGACTTTTTGTTTTGTTGTAAGACAATTTCGTGACTTGAGAACAGTGGCGAATCCTAGATTTAAGTTTAGCTAGGGCGGACCTTTATTGTTGACTGTCATCAATCAACAATTGTAATAGCGAGTTGTTTATTAATATTTAATTAAATAATATTAAAAATTATTTAATATATATGTAAATACACTAAAGCATAAAAATTATATACATATGACAATATAATTCAAGACAACCCAAAATACTAAGAAAATACACGATACAACCTTACTCTGTAACTGTAAATTTAGACTACTACATTCTACGGGGTCTCATATTTTGAAAACGCTCTATAATATGTAAAATGCCCAAATTTATTTTACAATTACAATTGATTAAAAACAGATAGTTGAATTGAGCCCAACATCTTCTTAATTGATTTTTTTTCACTTACCCTAAATTCCTAAATATAAATAATAAATTTCCAAATCACGAATCAGAACTCATAAATAATAAATTATAACTCATAGCTCAATGACTTATACAACATGAATTGTTTATCCAAAATCAAGATTCACAAATCACAATTCTCATTTGAATGCCAAATTGTCAGTTAACTCAAAGAACATAAATAATTATTCATAACTCAAGTTATAAATAAAAAATAACACAAATTCCAAAGAGAAAAAAAATTATAAAAAACAATGAAGGAGACTCACAGATGTCTGCAACTTACGAATCATGGCTATGGGAGGTCCGTTCGATTTTTCGACACGGTAAGCTGCAGCAGGAGGTGGGTGAGGGTTTCTACTAAAAAGAATCCCAACCGAGCTCACTGCGGTGCGTTCTGCTTGTGTTTTCTTCTCATCTTCGTGAGTCACGATA